GCACTATACACATTTATGCTTTATTTGTAGACTGAAATCTTGTGTCTGGCAGCCGAGAGTAGCAAAGTACATTTATCTAAGTCATTTACTAACATGGAAGAGTTGTACAAAATTGGAGAATGCGGAGGCCTTGTCATACACGGTGACACATAACTTTATTATTCCCCACCAGAAGCCAGTCTCCTGCAGTAGAAATTATGTCAAAAGTAGTTTTCTAATGCATATGCAGAGAGATGTACTGCTCCCTGAATATTTGAAGAAATGGTTTTACATTCTAAGCTTGCTAATTATACCTTTTCACAATATTACCACAACTTTGCTATTAAAAGGGAAAAGCACACAGGCAATGAGTGGTGGGGTGGTAGCAAGACTTCAGAGTGTATGAATGAGGTGCTTCTGCTTTTTTGGAAGTTGAAGTCCACACTAGACACTGGCTGGATGAATGAGTAAACATAAGTTAAGCTCCACTGTGATAAAAACTTTAATAAGCATGATTTAAAATAGAGAAATGTGGTTGGAATAAAGTTTTTATTCAGATTTTATTTCATATTATATATGTTCATTATAAACATGTTTCTAAGATAGGTCACCCAACTTTTGTACATGAGTGTGAAAACAATGAATTAAATGTGAGAATGTATTCCTGTTATTTAACAGAGGGGTTTACAAGTACATCAACACAGATGTACTTGTAAGTTTCTGTCCCAGAAGTAAAAATGTTAAATATAGGCATTTACTGCTTATTGTTATTTTATTTCCTGGAAGCTTACTCTTAGCCAGTTTGGGTTAAACAGCATGATTTTAAATTTTTCACACATGAGCTAGTTTCTCTAATAAAGTTTCCAAGAGAAAAAATGGCAGATACTTTGATTACGCATACCAAAAGAAGCTGGTAAAGTAGGTTTGATACAATTTGTACATACCACAGTTTTGTATTTTTGGAAAACGTCTCATCAGCAATCATCACAATGGCACTATCACAGAACAGTACACAATATATTTTAACTTAATAAACTGCTTCCCAGGAGGCTGCTTCTATCTGTTCCCACTTTTCTTAAATTTAATAAGGATTCTCATAGAGAACAAAGTAAATAAAGTTTTTAAAACATTACGGAGGGGCTTGGGAGATAGCTCAGTGATTTAAGCACCTGCTTGGCAAGCGCAAAGACATGGGTTTGATCCCTAGGGCTAGCCACTGAAACTGGATGTGGTGATGCACACCTGTAATCCCAGTGCTGGGGAGGCTGAGGCAAGAAGATCGCTGAGTTTGAGGCCAGCCTGGACTACACAGTGATTTGAAAGCCAGACTGAACTACACAGAAAGACCCTATCTCAAAAAAAAATTTTTTTTTTTGAAAATGGATTTTAAAATATAATTCCCTTGTAATACCCTGTGTTTTGGGGGCTGGGGAGATAGCTCAGTAGAATAAGTGCTTGCCTGGCAGGTGCAAGGGCCTGAGTTCAATCCTCAGTTCCACCAAAACAAACCAACCAACCTGTTTTACTCTACACTTTTAATTATTCTGAGATACTTACTCATGTGGCTTATATCTGGATATCCCCTGGAAGCCTCATGTGTTCACAGGTGAGGCTCTGGACCATAGATGTGAGATACTGGATTAGTCCACTGTTGGTTTAGCTTAGTTCTAGGTGTGGATGATGGATCTAGTAAAGAGGGAAGACCTGCCAGTGTGGCATTAACCAATAGGCTTGTAACCTACATGGAAAGGGGAAAAAGGCAGAATCACTGCTTTCTGACATGCCATGAACTGCTGTACCTCTGTCATATCCTCTGCCCTGAAACTAAACAACTATGAACTGAAACCTCTACAAACTATGAGCCAAAATAAACTTTTCTTCTTCTGACTTGTAGGTGCTGTCTCTTTTCTCTGGCAAGGAGAAAGTAACTAGGACAATCAGACTGCAAAATAACAGAAAAAAGATCACTGGCTTATCTAGATTTAGAGCATATGCATAAGAATGTAACACTGTTTCTTTTTTTTAAATATTTATTTATTTATTAAAACTTTTTAAAGTTTCTAATACTAGAAGATATCATACAATGTCTTTTAAATTATAAGTCAAAGATACAGTATAAATCTTAGAACAAAGATTAAGATTAAGCAATATTCAGAAAATTAAATGTTTCAAAACAATTGAACTAAGAAAAAGTTTTCATGATAGCAAAGAAGTACTAAGAGTAAAACATAAGATAAATACTGGAATGGCAAGT